TGCCATAATAACATCTCGTTATTACGACATAATTGAGTGGAAAAAAATTATGGCTCACGCCGCGCACAAGTGCATATCATTTTGAGATATCATATCAATTATAATCAATTTTAATAAAACACAAGACTACATTATAAAACTCTAACAGTAGGCTATTTAATATCTGTTGTTCTCTGGTTGTCAGTCAAAATGACAGTTCTTGCGTGAACATTATAGGCCTATATTTTCCCAAGCCAATTTATTATTCCTTCCTTTTTGTCTTAGTGTTTAAAATATTTATTTTGAAACGAATTAATCAATTAAACAAACAGACTTACTGGGTGAGCAGGGTAGGCTATGACAGCTGTCATGTCATACCCTGCTTTGCCAGCTGATGCGAAGAATAAAATTTATATCTACACAGAAGAAAGCCCTGTCTAGACTCTGCCCCGGTATGAGCTGTGTCGAGCTATTCATTAGCCCGTTTGTTTGATGAAAAAAGATTAAATGTAGTTGCAATAAATGTGTAAAGAATCAATACAACTGCAGCAGCAGTGGACTTTTATTCTGCTGCGTGATACTGCAGAAGAACTGATGATGGCACGGTTTGATCCTCGGCTGACCAATCAGCAGAAAGGGGTGTTTAATTCCCGCCCATGTGTAGAAATCGAATATTCAAGCTGTTTATTCATTTTTCTACCCCTGAAGGAAAAACGAAAATTTAAGCTGAATTCTTGTTTTTCGTTTTTTTTCGTTTTTTTTCTCATTTTTCTACTCTCAGTATTAAATAAAAAAAACCGAATGATAGAATGATACCCTGATTGTGAAACCCTTTGCAGTTCTTTGTTCAATTCGCACCATCAAAATGAACCAAATGAAAAGTTGGCTTCAAACTTTCATTTTCAATTTTTTTGGAGCAATTTACAAACGGATAATTGTCTCTCATTTTAATTTTCAATTTTACGAGTTACGAATCTGATTTTTGAACTAACATCAAAAATTTACTTATTATTCTGATTTTCCACTTCTCTGTTTTGCGCTCCCGGTTGGACCGTACCAGTGGCGGAGCGGGGGGGGGGATGTGGATGTATTTACCCAGAACTCTGTATGTATTGGCCCTATGCCTATGCATTGGCACGTCTGACCATGCAATAATTAATCATCAGACCTCCATTAACTGTGGACTCGGGAGAGGCTCCAGTATTTCCTCCATTTCTAAATTCTGCATATCGAGGAACATTCATCGTTTAGATTACGCACGGCAGTTGTTCGACCTGTTTGCGGCTCTGTGTATGGTAGAAATATGATGACTGGGATGTTGAGAGCTTCGGGATACAGGTTGGGCAGGGGCGGCGCCAGAGAATTTTGAAGGCAGGTGCTGAGGGTGTGCTAGATCTTTGACAGTGGGAGCTGGGCAATTCTGGGCTCCAGACTCATTCCTCCCACTGGCCGCTCTTTTTGCGACTAACTTTCTCAGTTTTTTTTTTTTTTGCTACAACATGCTACAATCAGTGCATGCTGATGAACTTTTATCATAGTTTATAGATATATGGAAATGAAACTGGTTAACATTCAACCTGTTCTTTTTCCTCTTTTGCTATGTTATAAACAAGGTGTCCTGACATTTGATCTTACCTGACAATTTTGTCCTAACAGTGTTTACTGCGCATGCGCACATCAATATTACGCTGAACAACAATATTTAATGTAGGCCTATCTGCATTACTGTAAGGGTAGGTTTAGGGTTGGGGTAGGTGTAGACTTTAATAAAACAATCTAATAGGTAGAAATTTTTTTTTATTGTTGGTTTCTTTTGCTGTGTCCCTTCTAGCCACAACCGCGAATATAACATAATTACTGTATTTGCATTACTGTAAGGGTAGGTTTAGGGTTGGGGTAGGTGTAGACGTTAATAAACCATAATTTTACAGGTAGCATTTTTCGTTGTCGAATTGTACTACACACTGTTTAATATGAGGTAGAAAAATCTGACAGGGTAGCACAAATCGACAGAACACCTAGCTTCGGATGATTTCACTTTCGATTTCGCGACCTTGTCACGTTTTACAATAAAAGATAATTGTCTGTTTTGCATACATCTATACACTTTTCACTTTTTAAGACTAAAACAAAAGCTGGATTCATTGTTATTTTTAATTAAAAAGCACAACAACAATAAAACAGTAAGATATAATGACAAACTAGTTTACAAAACATTTATTAACAAAAACCTAAGATGAGGCATGGCATACACCACATGCTGTATTACATAATGACTAACCTTTCCCCCATCAAGCAATAGCCATCATTTCAACGTCTCGGTTAAGTATAGACCCGATATAGTCCGGCTATGTGATAACATGCTCTTGATTTGTATTAGATTTTTTTTCTTTTAAATATTTTATTTTTTTTCATTTTTATATTTTTATTATCTTAAGTTGTTAAAACTCCAGAATTTTTTATCATAATATTTATATTTAAGTGTATTGTATTTATAACATTTTATTTTGTCATTAATCATTTTGTATTTATATAATTTTGTATTGTCTTAAGTTGTCCAAGTTGTTAAAAATTTTATTTTTCTTAATAAAAGCTGTATGTATGGATTGCCATTTTGTTGTCTATTAGACATATATGTAGTCGTTTAATAGCCGTCTAATTCATGACTAGTCTATAAATGGGCTATGATTAGACGTCTATTAGATTTTCACTGACAGCCCAAATGTAGCCTTGTTTTAGCCTAGACGTCTAGGCTATATTTAGACGTCTAATAGACGTCTTTTAAACGCAAAATTGCTTGCTGGGAACGAAAGAGGGCGATGACGTAGCACAAAGTATTCTGAGTTTTAAAACAAAACAAAAAACTTATGTGGCCCATTCACGTATTTGTCGGACCGTAACCAAACCTGCCGGCTACTATTAGAATACTGGGTTCACACAGACAGTGTTTTGGTCGCGAGACAGGTCAGTGGAAGTTTTTTTTTTTAAACCGCAAGGTCTAGACACTTGTTTTTAGAAGCTGAATTTCTTTAAACTTGAGTGCTGTGTTTTAGATTGATGTATGCTATAGCCTACAGCAGTGGCATAGCAAGTCAGCCCCGGGCCCATATGCAGAAAAATTTATTGGGTCCCCCCAAACGTTATTGGCTCCAACTCGGTAAACTTATTGTTGATTTTTCTGAAGTGATTAACGTTAGGTGTATTCACAAGCTGTTTTATTTACGGTATAAATGCTTGGAAATAATATTTAACGTCCATTCATCAATTGTAGCATGCAAGCCACCCAATAATCGCAATAAGCTTTGTGCTTTGTTACTTATATTAAAACACAAAGTGTCACCCTTCTGTCAATTTTATAATACAATACTAGGCTACAAACAATAAATATGTTTTTACGCTTCAAAATTTGTAGTGAGATATATTCGTATTATATCCTATATTCGTCTCAGTTCAAGCAGCATGTGAATCAATGACATTTTCATCTTTAATATTTGCAGCACGAAGTAAACATGAATAAATATTTGAATGCATGTTGAAAACATCTGAACAATTTAATACAAACGAATGTTTCATGAAATCGATCAATTAGAGTTTAAAAAAACGTCAATGAGCCTACCTTTTATTGCTGTTTTTATGTTAAATGTGAAAAATGACAGGTTGGATGCAACAGACTTTTTATTTGTATTTATTTATTTATTTTTTATTTAGTATAGGTGGAATTCTCACATTAACTTCACGCAATAGGCCTATAACCTGATTTTATTATCGTAATTTTGACTTCATTCTTAAAATATTATGATGTTAATCTTATTTTTCAACATGGTACTAAAATGCCGCCATAGGCTATTTGTACTGCATGCAAACACACTCTTGGCACAGAAGCCCAAAAAACAAAAAAATAAATAAATAAAATAATGAGATATTTGAATTATTTATTAATGAACTAGTATTTTCTGAGTCAGTGTCACAAGATGAAGTTGACGATCCTGACTCATCTCCTCAGGATGTGCGCCTTTAGAGAGAAATACATATTTATGGATTAGCCTATATAATGAAAGAGTTTTTTTTTCTATTTGAATTATTTTGTTTCAAAGTATTTAAAGCATTCTATTAAATATATTTATCATGTCTGTAAGAAGGCAAGTATTCGCTGAGTTTCGGTTCATCATTGTGAAGCTCCTGCTCAAGATCAAGACAACAGAAAGCGCATCCTGTTTGTTTTCCTTAATAATTTTACAAAAGCACAGGATTTTGTTGATACTGTTTATGAGTGCACACAAATACAAGTAGACCCTTTACAATACCTAATGATGTATTACTCTTACCTTTATGAACAAAAATGATGGCGTATGCTAAATTTCCACTCATAAGAAAAAAACGCAAGTGATTGCACTGGCGCCTCCAAACCACTTTCAATTACAAAACGGGTCAAGAGCACAACTAAAGCAAACACTGATCTCCATGATGGTGTCATCATTTTAACCAATAAAACATCAGCATCTGATCCTCTGTAATTCTCAATAACAGCAGCTGTTCATCACTAATGCACAATCATCATTTAATTAGTCACTTAATTATCTCATTAACTTTAACTCTTTGAGGACTTGGGATATGACTGGAGACTCGTTTGTGATTTGAAAGGAACTACTTGGTTCCTCCTCTGGTGAAATCAGCTGCTGAGTTCATGGGTGGAATAAACATATGGCAGGACTTTTACTTTCTGACCCCTGGATTGTCCACCTCTGCTAAACACCGCTGTATGTTGCTTGGAGACGCACACCAGATGATACGGATTTCGTTGGAACAATTATTATTTTGTTGCAAAATATAACAAACATGACAATATTCTGTTCTAAAATGTAGGCTACCTTTAAAATGTAAAATGTTCACTTAATATTATATTTTTTGTTGAACTGTTGCAAAAATTAATGTCACATTTGCCATCGTTTGGATATTCAGGGAAATTTGCATTCTTGCTCGTATTTTAAACATGAAACAACTCGCACAGGTTATGTGTCTGTATCGAAGAGAGTTTAAATCGATCTCAATGTACAGTCCGTGTCAATATTTGCTCTTCATGCTATTAAGTGAAGATCTACTTTAAAGATACATTGAACAGCAGCATGATTTGCTAAAGCAGTATATTCAGTGGGTATCCTATCACATGCAGGCTGCTTGTGTGGATGCAGTCAGTTTTAACAGCAAAAGATGAGTTAAGCTGATTGGATATCATGTATTTGACTGTTTAAGGCACTCCCATTTTCCTGTTTTTACATTAGAAGCAGCATTTTGCTTGTCAGAAAGACATGTTCGGTTTCAATGTTACTTTAAGTTGGGGTAGAATTAAATGAATGCCAAAACTCAGAATTTTGTTCGCGTAACCCCTCTCCGTCACCTGACTTATCAGCGGGGTATTAAAAAAAAAGTTATTGTTAAAGATAATAGTTGTCATTGTGTTATATATATATATATATGTATACTCTATATACAACTAAAAGTGCCAGGTGGTGGCAAATACCTGTCTTAAGTCATTCATTGGATCGATTCATTCAAACAGCTGATTTATTCAGAAACGAAGCAAGTGACTGCCTTTATGAATGGTTCACTGAATAATTGATTCACTCGATTCGTTTAAAAATGTGGATTCATTAATGAAACACCACTGTGTGTTGATCAAAGACGCACGACAGTTCGCCTAGGGCTTTATTTCATTAGTGAAATTACTGACAATGTGTCTAAAATGTAATTATTCACACCTTTACCATGTCTTCATTTTTAGTAAAAACTGTTATGTAACCTATTTTTGTATTTCTACCAGCCAATGATGATTCTGAAAGAAAACAGCAGTGTTTGTTATAGTAACACATGCAGCTTTCACGCGCATCTGACAGAACCGTTGTATTGCTATAAATGGTAATTTTAGAAAATAGTTCTAAAGTTGCTCTGTAACTTCAGTTCAACAGCATTAAGTTGAAGAGGGTAAACTTTATCACTCGACTGAATCTACACATGCATTTTAGGTGTCCTTGCTCCGTCCAAGCAATAAATGCAATGCGTCTTTGAATGAGCGCTGTAGCGTATTCTTCAACTGCTCAGGTACTGTCAATACAACCCATTTCAGGGGCTGCCAAAATTATATTTTAAAATCAGCCAGGGCTATAGAAATGCATATTAATATTTACAAGTAAATCTCCATATTATGCATATTAAAGGGGTCATATGATGCGATTTCAAGTTTCCCTTTCTCTTTGAAGTGTTACAAGCTCTTGGTGCATAAAGAAGATCTGTAAAGTTGCAAAGACTAAAGTCTCAAATCCAAAGAGATATTCTTTATAAAATTTCAGAGTCAGCCACGCCTACCTAAAACGGCTCGTTCTAACTCACTATGTGGGAAGATTTGCATAACGCCGCACAAATGTTCACGCAAAGAAAGAAGGCGTAACTTTTATTCTCACTGTAGTATTGTTGACGCTGCAGCCATGTCGTGAAGACGCTGTGTGTTTTGTTGTGAAAGCGAAACTACTTTGTTTGGTCTTCCAAAGGAGGACGATATCCGTTTCGTCATGCCTAGAGCTGATCTGTGCTGGTCGCTGAGGGAATACAACAACTTTCACCGTGGACGAAGCGGAGTTCAGACCGGGGTCGTCACATGTGGTTGCCGCTCATTCGTCGGATCCGCCGGGCGCACCGTTCTCAACCCCGCCGCCTCAGCTCACTCTAGCCTGGCCTCAGTGCACGCTAAGCTGGGGCTTCACCTCACGCTAGCCCGGCCTCAGCTCACTCTATCCCGGCCTCATCGCACGCTAAGCCGGGGCTTCCCCTCACGCTAGACCGCTGTGTTTTTCGTTGTGAAAGCGAAACTAATTTGTTTGGTCTTCCAAAAGAGGACACGACTACAAATCAGTGGTTAAGTTGTATTTACAACCCTGTTCCAGAACACTTCAACCCAAATATTCAGATGTGTGCAGCACATTTTATGGAGGATGAGGACTGTTTCCTGGGAGAGTAGCCTACAATGACGGTGTCTGTTTCTATAAAGTGGGGCAATTCCAACTTTGCCAGGACAGTCTGGTGCTTCTGACTCACAGCCTGTAAGTACATTTTCACATTTAAAGAATTTGCCACTGACGATTCAAATACGAGTTTTGAGCAGTGTAGAGTAGCGCTTGTTGTTTGTCATTTCTCCGATCACAAATGCAGACATGGTTTTATGTTTACGCAGCACGATATGCAATGCAACGCATAAAAAGACAGTATAAGTCATTATAATCTGTAATTATGTCCCCACTGGATGCAACAAATGTCTCGTTTATAATGTGTTTTACTGGTTTTGTCTCAGCACAAAACCAGCATCACAATATGGTAAGGGGTGTAACATTTCCGTCACATGCTTGAGGTAATCGGCCAATCACAACATACTGAATAGCTGGCCAATCACAGCACACCTCGCTTTTCAGACCAATGAGCTTTGTAAAAATCTACGCATTTCAGAAAGGCAGGGCATGGAGGCAATTATGTACATTATGTGGAAAATAATGTGTTTTTAACCTTAAACTGACTATAAGTAACTTTGTAACTACATGTCAACTACATGTCAACTAATTCTCATTAATTTGCAACTACATGTCTACTAACTCTCAGAGTAGACTTAGGGTAGGTTTAGGGTTAGTAGAATAAGTTGACAAAGAAATAGTTAGAAGATATTAAGCAGATAGTCTACTAATACTCTACTAACTACTAGTTGACATGTAGTTGCTAAGTTACTTACTATTAATAGAATGTCTAAAGTGGACTATCGAAATAAAGTGTTACCAAATAATGTTCTTTTTAGCAATGTCATATGACCCCTTTAACAGTCTTGCATTTGTATGTAAGAGCTAAATACTAAGCGTATAAGTGTTTTTTTATCGCTCCTAAAGGTAAAGCATTTGAACCTTGAACCCAATGGATTTATTATTCAAATAAGAGTATATGTCAATGACAAATAACAAATGACTTTGAATTCTGATATTTTGCTTCAGGTGGTTGCTTGTTTTTTTATTGTCTCATCAGCTTGCAATGTACATGTATTTGTTAGCTACACATTTCTGTTAGTTTCTAACTAGTGTTAAGCCGGTCAGCATGTATAGCCCATGCACACATAGATAGTAATACATGCGATTCACATGACTCTTCGGAGCAGCAGCAGTACATATGTCTTAGCGATAGATCTGCTTGTTTGGGGATGTTTTGTTCTGTTCTGTCTTGTTTTTATTCTTTCTATGTGTGCGGATATATGCATGTCTGCTGATGCAGCAGTTTATATTCTTAAACTCAGTGACATTCACCAAACACATGTATATTACCATGCTAAATTTTCAGAGAGTTGTGATGACAGAACTGCAATTATTACAAACCAGCCCCAACATTAAGTACTGTGAGAGAATCCTCATACAAGCACTATAAAAATTGCCATGAACATTATGACTGTAGATATAGACTTCATCTCTTGAGATAAATAGAGAATAAATAAAGAAATAATCACTACACATACTTGAAAGTGTCTTTTTCCTTACCAGTAATTGAGATGTACGTGAGAGCAGGTGTGTCTGGAAGACGATCAGCTGGTATGTCAGCTTTAAAAACTAAAGGGTTTTCCCCTGATCCATTTGGGAAGAGAAACAGAGAAGAACAGCAAGATGGAGGAAGAGTCACGAGTCATGAGCTGATCATATTTTGTATGATTTTGGTGAGTAATGATCAAGAAAAGAGCAGGAGTTCATTGTAATCTCTGGATTTAATTTTTTTTCATAACTGGCAAGACGTTTAATGTCTGCAGTGTTGTATAGTGGAAGTGTAACAGAGTGATGTTATTGTGTGCTTCACAGTAAATCTCACCATTTTTAACAGGATTGAGCTCCACATTTTCTCTTTGTAATGGAATCAGCACACCCTCAGACTGAAAGAGAGAGAGAGACTGTTAACTACCCATGATGCTCTAGTTTATCTATTCAAAACATGATCTATTAATCATAATATTAACAAATAACCAAATCAAATAAAACAAATGCTACAAGTGACAATCACTGATTCCCATCAGACGTACCACCACCTTCAGCGGCTTTCTCACTCCATCAGAGAAATCAAATGCTGAAGCTTTCACCTCAATATCATGACTTCCCAGCGTCATGGGAATAATCACATATGAAACGGCTATGCTGGAGCCTTTGTCAACAGATACTGTTGTTCTGTATTTGCCTTTCTTACTGGCAAAGCTGCAAACATCTTCTGTCTCCATGAACTCCACACGCACCTGGTGAAAACAGGAGAATGAGACTCAAATCACTTAAATATCCAGAGGAAACGTCACCAAAAATAAATCCAACATGAAATGTGTGATGATGGGATATATTTCTGTTTTAGCACAGGACAGTATCCTACACTTTTCTTCAGTTTGTCACAAGCAGCTCATAAACCTCAAATAAGTCTCCGGATACATGCATGCTGTCATTAGTAAATTATTTGACTCCATCAGAAATGTTAACTACAGTCCACATGGCTTTAACATACATAACAAACTGAATGATTTTTAATTCTATAAATCAAATCTACCTTCTTCAGATGCATTGGGGTGTAGTTGTGAATAATGGCCTTGATTTCCAGTTGTTCGCCGCGCACAGCTGAGTAAGGTATCTTTAGGTCAATGAAAAATCTCTTAAAAACGACCATCTCCTCAGGTTCTGCCACACAGATGCCTTTGAGGAGGAACACAGACACACAGAAGGATTTAAAGCAGCAGCTCCTGGATGATGATGATGATGATGGTGATGATGTTCAGAGCATGTATTCTGGGTTTGCAGCTTCTCCTTACCAAGTGTTGGTGACAGACTGACAGCCAAGATCTGCCAGGTAGTGATAGAGTCTCTCAGGAAGATCTCCTTTGTGATTGATGTTGTTCCACTGGAATATGAGGAAGAGACAGATAGAAAATCATAGACAAGCTTCATCTCACAAGCAAAGACTGACTTGATTCAGTTCAGTACAATACTGCTGTCTAAAGAAACACAAACTCTTACAAACCAGTGGTTTTCTCTGCAAGTGGGTAGATCAATCTCCTCCCAAATCCAACTCTCAGGAAACAGCGTACGTGACACAATCTCTTCAGAGTCTGTATAATAGTCGTCATCATCATCTGTTTTTAGTTTTAACAAAAACAAATCATTAATAATTTCTCTGGGATCTGAAAAACATGTATTACAATTACTGTATTCCCAATTCCTTCTTAGTCTCATCAGTTATCATTGTTGTTTTTCTAAATTTGTTTTGTGTCTTTTATTTATGTCTTTGTTTCATAAGTCTTGCATGTTCGTAATGCTGGGGTGAAGCCACAAAAGTGCTGAAGTAACACTGGTCCACGCTGAATCTAACCTGTCAGAGCGTAATTTATGTAATGGTTTGGAAATAAAAAGAAAGTTGCATTATTTCATTATTCGCTGCGCAACATTATCGCTCCAGTTGTGTGACTTTTCTTGCAGAGTGAATATCTGTCATGCCAGACACAAATAGCAGAGACATTGTAGCGAATTTAGCTCAACGACAGGAAATATGAATAATTA